CATACAGGAAATTAGTTGAAAGGAACAGGGTCTTTGAGTTCTTGACAGGGCTGAATTCTGAATATGACATCACAAAGCAGAACATTTTGTCCAAGGAAGATGTTTCATTGTCTCAAGCATATGCTTTGGTCAGCAGTGAAGAGAGTAGGAGGCAATGCAAGTTCAAGGAGTCAGCATCAATGATCATTTTGCAAATATGGGAATTATACGCAAAGGGGTTATAGGAGCTCCCAATGGCACAAGAAAGGAGGTGGTGTGTGAATATTGCAAGAAGCCGAAACACACCAAGGACAAGTGCTGGAAATTGCATCCTAGTCTTGTCCCTATCCAATTCCAGAAGAAGAATGATAGTAGAAAGACAAGAAGTGCACATGCAGCCACAAGTATAGATACAAAGGTTTAGTCTACCGGTACACAATTGGCAGCCATGAAAGTTGAATATGAGAAGTTTGGAAAGATGATCAGCCAGCTTGAATGTGTAACTTCATCATCCAACCCTTCTGGAAGTTCAGCCACCACCGCATTTTCTCACTCAGGTATAAGAACTTCTGCTAACCATGCATCCACCTCAGGTAATCCCAAGACCCCTTGGATCATAGACTCAGGTGCTTCTGATCACATGACCTACCTTTCCACTTTGTTTGTTTCATATGATTTTCTTCCTGTTTGTGACAAAATCACCTTAGCTGATGGTTCTCTTGCCTCTATTTCTGGCAAGGGAACTGTCAAGCCTACAGACTCCTTACTCTTATCTTTCACTCTTCATGTACCTAAATTGAATAGAAATTTTTTATCTGTAAATAGCTTGACCAAGTCATTGAACTGTTGTGTAACCTTTTTTCCTTCTCACTGTGTGTTTCAGGATCTAGAATCTCGGAAGGTGATTGGGAGTGGCCATGAAGCGAATGGAATATACTTGCTTGACACTCCTGGCCAATGCCTTGATTATCCCAAGAACGCTGCCTTTGGTTCTACTTCTTCGGAGTCTGTCAGTCGAATTTTGTTGAGTCATTGTCATTTTGGTCATTTACCTTTTTCTGCTTTGAGTCATTTACTTCCCAAATTGTTTAAGGGAGTCAGTGTGTCCAGTCTCAATTGTGAGTCATGTCAGTTGTCAAAGCATTGTAGAAACAATTATCCTGTGAGAAATAAAAGATCTTCTTTTCCTTTTCATATTGTGCACTCTGATGTGTGGGGGCCTTACCACTTATCTTCTATGGGGGGCTAYAGATATTTCATCCTGTTTATTGATGACTTTTCTAGATTCACTTGGATATACCTAATGAAATCCCGTGATGAAGTTCCAAGACTTGTGAGGCAATTTCATGAGCTTATTTTAACCCAATTTGATACCAGAATTAAAGTTTTCAGACTTGACAATGCAAAAGAGTATTTTGAAAAGAGTTGTTCACCAAAGCTCTTGTGTTAGAACCCCTGAACAAAATGGAGTTGCTGAAAGGAAAAATAGACATATTGTTGAAGTTGCAAGAAGCCTTTTGTTTGCCTCACATGTTCCTAGGACCCCTCTGTAATATTTCATAGATTAAGTTAATAAAATGATTTAGAGTGTTAGAGGGAGGTTAARTTCGAACCTCTCTTCTCTAACTCTCTTATTGCCGCCAACTCTCTCCCTCTCTCAACTTCTTAAGCTTCTCTTGTTCTTTTTCTGGTTTAGTATCTAATCTCAAGCTGTTTTAGACTACAAGAGGGCTGTTTTCAACTGAAACCAAAGACTTGTAGGCTTTAGCATTGGCATCAGACTTCCAATCAATGTTCTGAGAGTGATCTAGCTCTATCCAAATTGAGGTCAAATCTGAATAGTAGGCTGAGAGGGTCCTCTCCCCCTGCTTACAAGTAGAGGAGGCAGCTTGCAACTAGTATATTTTGGCATAGTGGTGTTGCTCTGAATAGGTAGATTTTGCCTGCTCCCGAATCTCAACAGCTATTTCAGCCCACATGAAAGTCTTCCTGACTGGAGGCAACATAGACAGTAATAGCCATGACATCACCATGCTGTTTTCCTGATCTCACCTATCGTACTCTACCCCTGAGGCTTTGGTTCTTTAGTTTTACCATTAATATTGCCTACCTTCCCCTGGCTGTTATGTGTAGTTTGATTCCTCTTGACCATTCTGGGTAGTTAAGACCATCAAAAGGTATCACAGCCATGGGAAAACTCATGTCAAATCCCCCACTCACTTCACCTTGACTGGAGGACCCACTAGACAGGACAGAATCCTCAGAAGACATATTATAAGATTTAGGTTTTCAGATCAGGTCTGTTAAAAAACGTCACAGTTCAGCCACAATTCATTAACAATTCCGTTCAGATTGGTTCAGTTCAGCCACTGTTCAGTTACAGTTCAGTCAGTTCCGTCCCCAGTTCAGGTTCAGTCAAGTATAAATTTTCTTTGAATACCACACAGATCAGCTTGTCTGTACATTGCTGAAAGACAGTTCAGGAACAAAGAAGGGCAATTCTGTAGCTAGGCTGACTTTGTATGAACTCTTTTTTCATCACTTTTCTTGGATACACAGCTACTGGAAATGTTTCCAAGGAAGGTAGCCGATAACTGTCTTACAGTTACAGGTCATTTAGACCTACACCGCCTGGTTGTCTGGGTAAAAAAAATTTCAGGATCACATGATCCAAAGTTCAAGGAAACCTAGCACTTTCAGGTCCTCTAGACCTCCAAAAAATCCACTTACCTGGGTACAAGAGAGGATCACTTGATCCACAGAAGATAGATTTTTCCTCGCAGCATCAGATTTCCCTTCCTTTTAAGGGTTTCTTGGCACTCGACCAAGGAAGAAAAGAAGAAGACTAGCAGAACCCCCTTCAGATCAGTCCGATCTGCTTCTTGATCAGATTCGATCCACAGCAAGGAGAGTCCAAAATAGGAAGCTTTATCACACACTTTCTGATCTCAGAAGGCCTGCTCTGATACCATGTTTTCAGGCCAGAGATATCAGAGAAAGAGAGGAAGAGAGAAGAAGAATTTGGATTCAAAACTTATGGCTGGCGGTGCCAGCTTTTTTCTTTTATATTAGGGTGATCCAACTTATAATAAAAAAGAGGAGAATTACAAGAGTGCCCCTGTGACACTAAAGAACAGAAAATTAAAAAACAGCTAGGAGAAACTAGCTGATTTCAACAATGTGGGCTTGTATGTTCACTGGTCTTGGGGAGCTAAGTTTCAGTTCTAGTTTATGCATTTTTATATTTCTATTAATAATCAATAAGATCTCTATTCTTGTTACTGATTAAAAAATGCCGAATTCTTTGAATTGTAAACAATGATGTTTGATGGTCTGACTATTAACCATCTTCTCTGATCAATTTTCGAAATATTATACTTCAGATATAGTTGGGAGTAGTAATTGGGGTGGTAACATTACTGCACTGTGTTTATCCAAATCACATTGGGTAATAGTGGGAGATAAAAAGGACAAAGGTGTGGATTTTTTGGTCCTGACACCTGAGTTCAAGTGGTGAAGAGAAGCTAGTTGTAATTCTCTACCAGGATTTTTTTTAGTAAATGTAACAAAATGTACTAAAAGATAGAAAATACAGACCAAAATTAAAATTAAAAATGAAAATGAAAATGTAAAGAACAGAAGACAGAAAACAGCAACCCAAAAAGAACCAATCTTGCCATAGAAACACCTAACTAGATTCTATACAAAAAGGCCCCCAAAAACAGCCCCAGAAAAATACTTCAAACGGCTCCAACATTTCTCTTCCTTCCACCTCTCTCCTATCCCTTGTGCTCTATGAAATTAGTTACTTTCTCAAGCTTTCTACTACCGCTGCCTGTCTCAGTACTCACATTATATTTCAGCTTCCTACTAGTTTTGTCTGTTCTGGCAGGATGTCATAAAGTAGTTGCCTGTGCATGGGTAAGAATGGGACATATGTCATCTCTTGACAAAGCAATGGGTGATGTATGGAAAATTGCTTGCTGTTCTTGAGTAAAGGGAAATATTGGGAAATATCATAGTTCTTATAGATCTGAGTTCCAATTCCATGTTGTGTTGTGTTTGTATGTGGTAATTTGATGTAGAGTAAGTAGTTTCACTTGAGAAATGCCTAATTTGTATTTTAATTGTTTATCAGGCCAATTTTCTTGTCTAGGATATCACTTAGTGATATATGGAAACCAGCCACAAGGGAACCTTGCGGAAATGATATTTGGGAAATGCTGAAAAATGCTGTATCTATTCTTTTCTCACAGTCAGTTCTCCAGGTATCCCCAATATTTCAGTAAGTTTTTCACCTTAATTTAATCTCTTTGTATATGATAAATATTTCCCTCCCAAAAGTGTTTTTTTTTCTACATCATTCTATTGTTGGTGAAAATGTAAGCTGAAGTCATCTAACTTTTTTTTTTTTTATCAATAACTGCAGTTTTCATTAAATGATAGAATTAAATGTGTAAAATAAGTATACAATGATTGAGAGAGAAAATTTCTTTCTACAATTGTGCCCAAAGCATCAATTGTCTTTCTCTCCCTTGCTTAGCTAATGCATCTGCCATGGAGTTGGCAGTCCTCTTAACCCGTTGCATTTTCACTTCCATATCCTTTGTCAGCCATTTGAACTCTTTTTTCTCATTGTTGTACATCCATAACTTCAAGTCCTCACTTAGTAGCCACCTCACTACTAATTTTGAATCTCCTTTAATAATTAATTTCCTGATATTCAGCTAATTTGTCCATCTTACTCCTTCCATCATTGCAATAACTTCAGTTCTTAGAGAGTCTCCCTCACCTTGCTGTTCCTGAAAAGAAGGAATTACCTTCCCTTCCTCATCCCTAAGCACCTCTCCAATACCTGAAATTCCAGGGTTACCGGTGGTGACCATAATGGAGTGGTGGTGCTCTTATTGCAAGAAGAGTCCGCCGCTTCCTTCCAGTTTCTAATAATGTCATCCACCGTAACATGTGAGAAAGTTTCCATTGTCTTTAACCATGAGCCGCTCTAATCAAAATGGACTCTATTAAGGCCTCCACACTTCTCTCCTTCTCTAAGAAGATTCTTGAGTTTCTTTCTTCCCATATTGTCCAAAGAATTTCCACTCTTATACATCCCACATATATCCTTCCCTCTTCTTTGGCCATTCAAAGGTTGTTTGAGCAAGTAGGCTTGGAATATCAGTTGGAGAAGTCCACCTACAACAAAGAAAGAAACCATTCCCAAATATAAACAACAAATAGACAATAGATTAATAAGTAGTAACAATTCTAACCTTTTGCCTTACACAATACACCAATTGAGCGAGAGGCACCAGTTAGTCTCTTCTTTTGAAGCAACTCGCAGGTGTTAATTCTCCCAAGAGCAACTTCCCCACAAAAAGCTGCTATTCTATGTGGAATAGGCTTACACCACATCTGTTTTGTAGAGAAAGGGTTCAAGGAGTGATTGTGAGTTGAGATAGTTATTTGAAAAAAGAGGCACATATAAACAAGCCAGATGGAGAGAAAGTGCAGATTTGGCTATCAGTTTTGGATGGGTCAAGAAAAAGTCCTTCAAGCAATTGAATTAGGGAATGCACATTAGGGATATCAAAATCCCTTACACCCCTTCTAAAGCCCAGATCCCAGTTGAAACCATTTCTGAGTTGGAGGGAACTATGAAGTTAGAAATAGGTTCATTATATATTGGTGATAGTTGTGTGGATTATTTAATTGTTATTTTGTAGTTGTTGTTAGTGGGTTGTCCTCTTAAGGTGCTGCCAGTTAGTTATTTTCTTTCTTTCTTATTAGTTTGGTTCTAGGGAGTACCGCCAGGGGCATACTTGTAATTTCCATTTTTTTTATATTAAGTTAATATAAATAATGAACTGGCGGCAGCCAAGAGAAGGTTTTCCTTTTTCTCTCAATTGTATCTTCCTCTTCTTCTCTTTCTCTCTCTCGTCTCTCTCTCTCCATGAATGATTACATGGTATCAGAGCAAGGTTCTGGGCTATAAAAGAATTTCGGTCTCTCCTATTTGAACCTGCTTCGTCCTCTTTACCTTCTTTGATTTCTTGGACGTGGAAGACAGAGAAACCCTAGCAGACTACTTGTGGCTCTTCCTTTGGGTTCTTCCTTGGTCGTAATATCAAGGAAACCCTAGCCGAAGAAGGGCGATGCAGAAAGAGACTCCTTTTCTTTTCTGTTCAATGCTGTGAAGTCAGTTTCTGGTTGGCACCTTCGTACAGGTGCT